TCTAAAAGTCAATAGTTGGACCTGTACATTGGTGATTACTCTGAAAATGTCACTAAAATCAGTTCAGTGATTCATGAGAAGATTTGATAACATTACGTTGTCAGGACTTTCAGGCTGAGCAAGACAGGAACGAACCCAATGGTGCAGGCAGGATTCGGAGGCCAGGTCGTAAAATTAAATACACTTTTAATAAGGAAAGTAAATAGGCTGAGGTGGCAGCAAAACTTACATGACTGGATATAAACAAGAGAGAACCAGGACAGGACAAGACCATACCCAACACAGACCTAGACTTAAATACATGGACTAGGCGAGACATAATTACAAACAGTTGGACAGGACGCACAGGTGATACTGATCTGGAAAATTAACAGGACGAGACACAGGGTGACCACAGAGGGCACCAGTTCCTTACATACATAATGAGCATGTGTACAGACATCATTTGGCAGCAGGTATTAAAATAGACTTTCTACAAATGTTCTGTCTGCAGACTGGTGTTTTAAACACTGAAAGTTTTCTGTCTTTTACAAACAGACTGAAAACTCCTCAGTTCTGCTCAGTGCCACCTAAATCACATCATCTCAGCTGTGTTTCTGTGACCTGGAGGCATTAAATGTAGCCGTTCTGTAACAGTCTGGGACATTTTGCTGCTGCGGTGTGGCAAAATGATTTGCAGATGATTGAAACTTGTTAGCCATTAGTAGGAGGGAACCTGTGAGGTTTTAGTAACAGAGCAGCTCCTTTTCAGAAGGTTGGGTGAGATGTCCTAACAACTCCAAAATGAACATTTGATTTCTGTTTCATGAAGCTGTAATTAATTGTAGATGATTATAGTTTTTATGAACCTTGTGGAAAAACACAATATTTAATCAAAATGTTTTTAGGTTTGAAACATGTTTTTTTCCCCTAATAGTTTGTATCAGAGCTTTAGACTGAAGATTCATTAGAATACAGTTGATATTTCACCACTAATTAATTTTCCCATTTTTGCAATTTCTATATTTTATTTTTTAACAGGCCAACCTTGTTTTCTGTGTGAACACTTGCAGCAACAATTGTGTGCATCTGAGTCCTGATGCAGTGCGTGTCAGGTCAGCTTTGTTTTTGTGCCTCTGCAATCATTTAAGTCATTGTTACTAAATATTGAGTAAAACATTAAGATTCAGAGGATGTTGTTGGGCTCAGTTCCATCTAAGTAGCACCTGCCAAAGGTGAAGGCGGAGGGATAATGTTTTTGCACGTCTATGTGTGAGCATATGTCTGTACAGTTTGCCTGTACATTTAGTGAAATATCTCATTTTCACTGAAATTATGAGAATGACACT